TGTGTTGACCAAGATGATCTTCTATAATATGCTCATGAATTACCTATAAAGTTGAGAGTTTCATTCTAGATTTTTCATTTTAGCACTCTTTTATTCCAAATTTTATTCAAAAATGGAAGGAGTCCTTTTGAAAAAGTGCTAGTAACTATGGTAAGCTAGTAACTGTAGCTTATATGAAACACCTATTGTTGCATGATAGAATGTGATGGGTGTAACATGTATTAAGAAATCATTATTTGCTAAAGAATGCTTGTTTCATTCATTTCCAAGAAGTGATATTTATAATTACACCCTTTTACTTTTTATAGTTGCAAATCAAAGGGAAATGCCCTTATATACTAGTGATTCCTTCTTCTAAGGTAATACAATAGCATCCTTTTAACATCATACTGGCGAGATATTTACCTTTTATCATAATTTATATTATTAAAAAAGAACACCTTCATAAAGTAGCTTGTCAACTATCAAGTTCAATTTTAACACATAAAACAAGTTGGAAAATCAATGATTTATAGATTTTTATATTATGAATGTATGAAATATAGAAATAGGATATAAAAATATGCATATTCATTAGCCCAAAAACCCTAGCTTATATACATGAGTGAGTGGTTTGGATTGAAACCAATATAACAGCTATCAAAATCTATAGTAGTATATATCTAGTTGATGGGCCGAGATCTGGAGAAACATTAGGAGGAAGCACTAGTGGATATATAAGTAGTATTAGTTGTTCTTAATCCCTTTGTATGAAGTGTTTTAGCTGTTACACATGCACAATTTCTAAAGGATTAACTTGTTGAACATTATACTAAACTTTATAAACTTGTGGTTCAACTTGCCACAACACCGATACAATCCCTTCCACTAAGCAAAAAGCCCTTTAGACAAACTATATACCATAAGATTGGGAAAATGGACTAATACTAAGTCATTCAATTTATATTATAGAGGTGGATGAGGATGGGAGTTATAGCGCTATTGTTGTCTCACTTGTATGCAACTCAAATATTTGGTATATTTTGCTTAGACAAATGTAAAAATACTTATCAAATATTAATCCAAACACCTAGCATCGGCAGCTTACAAAGGTAGACTCAACTTTGTTGATAGTATTAGATTATATAAATTTCTATATGATGAAGCATCAATAGAACTTTGCACCCCTGTGATATATACATACAAAAAAGACAACAAATAACCATCTCAATCTGAATGTTAAAGGCTTATATACTTTGTGATTATCCATTTGAAAGTCCAGATAAGACATTCTACTAAACCATCTATCTGTGGATGATAAGCACTTGTAAAACTATAGTGTATCCCCAATCGAGATATTAAAACATGAAATGCTTTAGTCATAAATGCAAGACTATTATCTGACAGAATCCATTCTAAATAGAACACCAATCAATTAAGGAGGAAATATCTAATAACAATTGCTGAGTCACTAGCAAGGGTGCTAACTTCCACCTAATTAGTTAAGTAGTCAAAGACAATAATGACATATTCATTACTAATAGTTAATTGTGGAAAAAGCCCCATCAGATCAAATGCCATCACTCAAATAAATGTGAAATTGCAATTAATTCTAACCATCCTTCTATGAGGGAGAGTATTATAAGCTTGGCACCAAACATATCTACACATATATTGAATAACATTACGTTGCATCTTTGACTAATAGAAAGACTTATATAGCTATACATTGATATCCCATATGCCTGCTTACAATAAGAGAGTTATGATAAATATAGAAAAAGCATGGAATAAATATCAAAGGTACCACCAGTTGTAAATGATTATTAAGATGAATCCTAATAAAATAAATAAGGTCTATCCTTAAGGTGATATTGAGAATGTAAATGTCAAAACAACAAATCATAAGTAAATGATATAAGATTTTTAAACCTCTTATAAAGCCTTTGGATCCATAGCTTAACTTTTTAAACCTTATGAACATTGTTAAGAGAAGATAAATCTTGTTTTACACATTGTAGACACTAAATATCAAGTACAATACTTGTCAACAACACAAAATCCTTATCTAAAAAATCCACAAATGCTAGAATAATAAGCTTGTCAGGAATCTTGAGAAAGGGCATCATAATCAGCCATAGAACTTTTTACGCAATGAACAACCTTTAAATTGTATATTTGAAATTTTAGAGACAATCAACTAGTATGACTAGCCAAGTTCTTCTATTTCAATAACAAAGTAACTATAGTATGATTACCTTCTAGTAATGTTTAAGAACTATGCAAATATGCATGAAACTTTTCAAACTATTGCTAAATATTTCTTTTTTATTGTGGAGTAGTTCACCTTTGCTGGTTGTAATGTATAGTTGATGTATGCATAGCATGATGCTGATCAATTACACTTGTACTTTCTTGCATTAAGACACCCCCAAAACTAATATCCAAAGTATCCATATGCAAAATGAAAAGTCAAATGTAGTCAGAATATACCAAAATTGAAAAAGTTGTCAACAACACTTTGAGATCCATAAATGCTTGTTTGCAGTCCTTAAACTAAATAAAAGATTGTGATTAGAAAGATGATTAATAAAACAACTGAGATATTGCACCTTGCACAAGAAACACTATACATCATTCACACATTTCGGAGTAAAGAACTTTTGAACGGCCACAAGTTTGTTAAGATTAATTTGCAAACCTTCATAAGAAATATGGTACTTAAGCCGTATCTTTAGACCTAAACATGCATTTTGACCACTTCAATTTTAAACTAACTTCTCACAACCGATTTAACATCTTCCAAACATCATGAACATACTTCTCCCATGTCCCTTCTATATGAATCAAGACATTATAACTGAAGTCAATAGTCACCTTTGGCATATCACAAAGAACTACATCTATTATTTACTGAAAAGTCACTAAAGTGTTGGTTCAATTAAATGGCATCACCAATAATTTGTATAAACCAAGGTGTATGAAAAGTAATCTTGGGAATATTTATAAGCAACTAAAGGGAATGACTCAAGATACAATCCATATGGGTTTAAATATAAAGGGAAAGAGCCCATAAACAAAAGTGCACTTCCTTTTCTAATTGGTTAATTCGAGGTTAAATGTCCTTGGGTTAAAATAATACTAAGCTAAGTGACATCTTAGAAAGTTCAAATTCATGAGCTTACAATATCCTCCTTGGTTATCAGCACTTGCCAATACTCAAAAACAAAATTTAGCTTGGTGAGCTAATGACTTCTCCTAATAACTTCTCCGTATATCATTAAGGATTTCCTGGTTTAAGATTAAAAATGTGAGGAAGAGGGTGTATATCTAGGATAATTACTTTGTTTAATGGATAATAGTCGATGTAAAAATAAATATTCCTATCAAGTTTTGTCACAAGATGAGATTCACATGCCTAAGAATTCCATAACTTTCAATTAACACCCTTACTCAATATATAAAATCTTGATTTCCTTTGGTGACCAATAATAAACAAAAACCTTGATTATATGAGCATCCCAATTTGGAATAGAATAATGTGTTGCAATCTTGACTCTAAACAATAAATTAAATTCAAAGAAATTAACATATTCTTTCATGAGCTAGTCAACCATTGTAACATAAATACCATTGGAGGGATTTAAAAAGGGAATAAAGGAATAAGATAAAAAAAACAGAAGAAAAAGTAATAAAGAGATAAAAATGATGAAAATAGAAATAGAATAAAAAAGGACAAAGAGGGATAAAAATGAAAAGAATTGAAGAAATATAAAGAAATATAAAGAAAGGGGAAAAGCCTCAAAATCACATTTAACTAATCTATATCAAGAATAAAGTTAAAATTTGACTTAACACCATTTACAACAATTGGAATTTAAGTTCAAAATTGCCCACATGCACAACCAAGTTTACTTTTATTGTGCACATACATGTGTATGGAATCTATATTGAAATAAAAAGATTGTTGCTCAATATCGAAATAAGACAAAAATAACATCTTTATTTTCTAGAAAGATTGTTTCTCAGTGAAAGGCTTCCAGTTTAAAGAAGTTTCCATGCGTCATTCACCATTTGAAGTGTTTATAAGGACACACTACATTTCCAAACTTCCATGGGGCACATCACAGCTTTTTTCACCTTCTTGGCTTCTTTCTTCTTGGTGATCTTCTACTATGATCGATCTAAATCACGCAGCTCCCATGTCATGCCTCCAAGCCCCCGGGCCTTTCCAATCCTCGGCCACATTCCACTCCTGGCCAGCAATTCCCACGGGCCACATCTCATCCTCTTCGATCTCGCCAAGAAGCTTGGCCCGATCTTCTACCTCCGCCTGGGCTAGACCCCCACGCTCGTCGTCTCCTCAGCCAAGATCGCCCAAGAGATCCTCAAGACCCACGACAGGATCTTCTTCTCGCGGCCATCGCCGAGGCGATCCTCCCAGACGATCTCGTCTTCGCGCGCTATGGCGCGAGATGGAGGGAGCTCCGCAAGATCTGCACGCTCGAGCTCTTCACCGCGCGCCGCGTGGGGAGCTTTGCGGCAGTGAGGCAAATGGAGAAGTTCCTGGCGATGCTTTCCCAAAATCTGAGAAGAACGGTGAACATGACCCAGGAGCTCAGCGTCCTCACCTTGGAGATCATGCAAACGCTCGTGTTTGGGACGAGCCGGACCTTCGGTGCCAACGATTTCCTCCGCTTGGTCCGCCAGGGGAACGAGCTGAGCGGGAGGCTACACATCGGCGATTACGTCCCATGGCTTAAATGGATGGATCTCTCGCTGCCCAAGCTGAGAACCTTAGCAACCAAATTCCATGCCTTGCTTCAAGCACACATTGAAGAGCACAGATCCTTTATAGCCAAGCAATGACATGGCGGCAAGAGCTTCCTGGACGTCTTGCTCTCGCTCGACAACATGTCAGATCTTGGTGCCTCATGGACTTGAGTGTTGACTAACTCGTTGGCCGTCCTTGCTAGGATGCAGTGAGTGCAGGGCTGGACACGACTTGCCACAGCGATAGAATGGCTCTCACAGAGCTACTTCTTCATCCACAAATCTTGGCAAAAGCCCAGAAGGGATTGGACGACGTGATCCCTGCTAGTAGCGCCATCGTGAGTGAGGCCGACATTTCCAAGCTCAAGTACCTCGTCGCGATTGTCAAGGAGACCCTGCGCAAGCACCCTCCGGCGCCACTCATGGTTCCACGCGAATCCACCGCCGAGTGTAAGGTAAGTAGTCTAAACGCTAGATCTCTGAATTTGTTATCATCGTGTATGAAAGCTTGAAGAAGCTGGCTACGCGGTCCCAGCCAAGACCCAATTGTTGATCAACCTCTATGCCATCGGCCGGGATCCAAACATCTGGGAGAACCCTCTGGAGTTCATCCCGGAGAGGATGAGCAGCGAATTCAATGCGGCCGTGGAACTCATGACGTTTGGCTTTGGCCGGCGATCCTGCCCGGGTATGAAATTGGGAATGATTTCATTCTTGCCAATCTTCTCTACAAGTTGAACTGGAGAACAACGGATGGTAAAGAGGTGGACGTCGGGTTCACGCTCATGCGGGCTCGTCCACTTGCATTGGTTCCACTTCTCCGCAAGTAGTCAAACATATTGACTAGAATAAACAAAGTATGTTTATTAGAGTACACTTAAGGTTGCTCTTGCTTTGTTAAACCTGCGCGCCATTTCTGGGCACCGATATTATGAAAATGGAGACAGGGAGAATGGATACGTTCGTGACCTTTTGCCAACTCACTATATTGTGTGGCGTGAAATGTACTCAAATCCACCTGATCTAATACGCAATAAAATCCGTCTTCCATTGATATGTTTACTTGATTTCAAAATCCATCAGTTCTAATTCTTGCCAATCCTCTGTAGAACTTCGAGTGGTGGTCAATGTGACACGCTCATGCAAGTTCTACGGAAGTTTGGCAAGAACGAGATGGAAAGAACTGATCGATTTTGAAAAGCAACACCTCTAGGTAAGCATATCAATGATTTTATTGCGTATCAGATGGTGGATCAGAATTTGTACATTTCACACTTCAAAAAATCATTATACTGAAAATTTTCTAAGCCAGGCACTGTGAAATAGAGGACGTCATCTTATGACATTCTTTGCCTAGAGTTTCGTCACAAATTTCATGCACGAGCACCGTATCTGATAGATAGGTTTCGTTTTGTTATTCAAATAGTCTTGCATGCTTCTGGATTTTTCTCTTCTTGTATGTCGCCGCTGGGAGACCTCCGCTGCGCGGATCACGTCTTCTCGTGGATACCCTGGCACGATGCAATGGTCTGGAACACAATGATCGCGAGCAAAGCCTGAATGTAATGTTGGCACTCTACCTTTGTTTTGTAGAGTTTACTATGCAATGTATAATTGAGAGGCCATCAACTAATATCGTTTGCAAATTTAAAATCAATAAAAAAACAACAGATTAAGAGGAGAAATCAAGATCTCTGCCCTAATTGCCAGCCAAAACAATCTTTTGAGATAATTTGAATAGAATTTGGACCAGGATACATGGCAGATTGGGAGCTTCGCATTTACAAAGCTCTTTCATGGGCATTAGGATCTAGATCGATCTCACGCAGAATTGGACTTTTGAAAGACACACTGGGAGATGGCCAAAGTGGACATGCAAACGGAGTTCTTTGGTCTACGCCGGAAGAACTGAATTGGCAATCCCCGAGGTAGGCTCATCAATGAACTCTATTTTCAGTGCCATCCCCTGAGCCAAAGACCAAAGTTTTCAGGTCCACTTTGGATTGGCTTGGCTGCCCAGCGTCTCTCATTTAAGCCGGGTGGAAAGATGCACCCATTTCGTGTGGGAGATTGGTCTCATCCTAATATAAATGAAATACAAGGTGAGCTCATGAGGTTGGTATGTGAAAGAAGAGAACTTTTGGCATGCCAATTGCAACAAATAGGAGAAGGTTGCAATTGCATATCATTGCTTCAATAATCTCACAAACCGAGTGTTCTTGTCAGTAATAACATATGGATGTGCAGAGTGATGCCTCAGAAAAAGTGATTTCTGAAAAGAAAGAAGATCTTGGTCAAGACGGTGAGCAACTTCACTGTTTCAAAGGAGGCTGTTCTTGTGATGCATGGTAATTTTTGCTGTTTTATGTTCCACAATATATTTTAAATTTTTTAAAGTTTGCTGACACGTCAAATTTAAACAGCAGATTGTAGCCAGGTCTCGAGAATTTTTACGCACTGCGATTTATAATATTGAGAAGAGTGACAAAGCAAGTCACAGACTCCATTCTCGGTTGTTGCAGCATCCAACTCCTTACTCACACCTCGATTCACTGGCCAAGTGCTCCAGTGATGGCGAGCACTGGCATTTGTTCAGAACTGGTGATGATCCTTGACATGGACCTCGACACTGGGCCTGGACTTAGATGAAATTCTCAAGACAACTTGGAATTCTAGACATGGAAAGCACTCCAGCGGTGCTCCATGTGCACCACCGAAAACGTCCTCTACAACGTCCACATTGCCACTGTCAACCTGCGATTTTGAAGTATACAAGAGCCAAGGAACAGGAGGATCCTTGGAACTTGCTGCATAGGCCGTCATTGCCTCCTCATTGAACTTGGCCAGCAGGTTAAACCGAAAATCCTGCGAGCACTCTCCTTTTGCCCGACGTGCCTCAAGAAAGTCGAAGATGCCGACCATGTTATCAATATGTGCCCCACATACACTAGCACGCCGGTGCGATGGGGGTCAAATCTGCATGTCTGTGGGCAAACAAACTCTGTGCAAGGGCAACCATCCTCCAGCTTGCACACCATAACCCACTGGTCTAATGCAGGAGGGGGCGCTGCGAGACCATGTAAACAAATGAATGAATAAATGAATGATTTGGTAGAATTATTATTTATCTGATGGGGGTCGGATAAATTCTGGTTGCAAAACCAGTTTACAAAATAAACTTTGAGAAGTTAAGCAAATTATATATAACATGTATAGATATATCTCTTTTTTCTTTTCTTGTGTGGCACTTAGCTCTCTGCTTCTTTTCAACCTCTGGAAAGAAGTGTAAAATTAAGTGCCACATAGGAGAGAAGTTTTAGAGATAATACAATTATTATTAAAATTAACTGAAGAGCGTGAAAAAGTTAAAACGTGGTGTAAATTATAATTTTAATCATATAATGTTCTTTTGTAATGCAAGCGTGAATCAAAAGTATTAACATCTGCACACTCGTCTGCGGTTCCCGCGACACCTCTTACTGGGAGCCTGAGAGGTTTTGTTTTCGTCGCTCCAGCCATGCTTGTCGAGGCTCCTCCGAATCCGAGGACGAGTACGATGACTCGCTATCCTTCTCTTTCGATGTTGAGGACGGTTACAAGGTATTGGGTTCTCCCTTGTATTCTTGCCCTCTTTTCAATCTCTTTTTCACGATCAGGTGGCTGACGACACCGCGAGCAGCGCGATCCCTCGATCCAGCATAAACGAGCTGGGGTTCTCATCATCGCTCATCGATCGCGCCATGGAGATTTCGGGTATTCGTGGAAATCCTCAGCTTTTTTCTTCTTGGAGCTTGACTCTTCTCTAGATTGCGGCAGTGTGGAGGATCTCGCGTCAAAGATCCTCGCAATGCAGGTAGGCTCCAGAGTGTTTTTTCCTTTCTTTTCGATGGACAAGGTGATCATCGCAGGAGTTCACCTCTCTCGAAGATATTTTCAGGGGCAAACTTTCGGAAGAGATGATCGCGAACGCTCGCAAGGAATGTGGTACTTTTCTCTTACGTTGTTCTTTCTTTTCTTGTGTTTTGCAAGCGAAGCTTATGACTTACATTCTCTTCCTCTATCTTTCTTTTTCATAGGTGCCAATGCTCAAGACTCAGCCATAGCTGATTACATTTTTTCGCAGCATCCAGATCTGCTTCGAGCAGAGGTAAGTTCGCGACAACGTTTTAGTCGTTCTTCATTTTTGTTTTTTTGCGTAGGAGGCATCGGACAAACATCTACATGGTAGACTCAAATCCATGGGCTTTTCAGACGAGCAGATAGCTAATGCGCTCGGATTGTTCGGTAACCTGCTTGCTACTTTTGTATTCATTGATTTCTGTAGGAAACGATGCGAAGCTCGAGGACGTCGTCGAGCATATCTTCGCCAAGGAAGCCGCACCACGGCTTGAAGAAAAACCAGACCTTGCAAGGATCTACCGAGAGTGGACGAAGAATCAAGGCCAGGAAGCAGCAGCCGGAGAGTTGACACCACGGACGGGAAAAGGAAACGAGAAGACGATACCTTCTTCGCCAACTTCGACGACTTGGAGGACAACTTTGATGGCTTCCTGCCGGAGCAGCGAAACCAAGGCGATGGGATGGGCTTTGGCATACCGGGGCAGCCAACGAGATCAAGAACGCTGCCATCTTCCAGTCTCCCTCCACCGTTCTTCTACTTCGAGAACGTAGCGATCATGCCTCGCGGGAGCTGGGAGGACATCACCAGGTTTCTCGACGGCATCGAGCCAGAGCTCGTCAACTCCAAATGGTTTTGCGCTGCGTCCAGGCAGCGAGGCTACGTCCACAACCTCCCCGTCAAAGGAAGAAGAGCGCTGCCTCCGGGACCGATGACGATCCAGGAGCTCGTCCCAGGGATGGAGAACGTCCGGACAAGCGCGTCAAGCTCAACTGCATCACCACCTCGAGCGACCGAGCTGCTCGCGTTCAGGCCAGCGCCGAGGCGTTCTACAACGACGACGACGTCGATCCTCAAGTCTTCCTCGACATGAAGAGAGCCAACCTCGTCTGGCGCGGCCGGGGGATCCTGGCGCCGCTCGAAGTCCAGGAGCTGGAAGTAGTGCAAGGCTTCGACGTCGGGCACACGAGCTCCGGCCAGTCCCCGGCTGAGCGGATCAAAGCTCTCGGGAACGCCATGCAAGTCCACACGGTGGCATGGCATCTCTCTCTTCCCAACCGGTATCCGGGTCCTCTCGCTCTTCTCGGGGATCGGCGGCATCGAGGTGGCGTTGGAGAAGCTCGGTATTCCAATCAAGTTCCTCGAAACCAACGCGGACTGCCACAGGCAGCAACACATATCGTCTTGGGCGACGTGACGGAGCTGTCTCGAGAGAGGATCGAGGAGCTCGCTGCTCGAGCCGGGGGTGGCTTCGATCTAAGTCGCGGCTCTTCTTCGACTACGTAAGGATTCTCACAACGGTGAGAAGCATCATGGCCAAGTCGGCGTCGTGATCGAATCCACCAGGCAATTTCTTTTTCCCCGAGAACTCTTTCCAGATTTTGATTGATGATCACAGAGATGGTCGTGGTTTTTGCTAGAAAAGTCGTGTTTTCGCTAAGAATCCAGGCCCACTCTTTGACAAAACTTTCTTTTTTCCATCATGTGCAAAATCGCTTTATGACCACACAAGAATTTCTCGAAGATCAAACGAAAGAAAAGATTCAGTGCGAAAATCGCCACAAAGTTGACTGATGTCATCACAGAGACGCATGGAAAAGTCGTGGTTTTCGTGGTCTCTTTGACAAAATCTTCCTTGTGATCACAGCGTGTTTGACACGAAATTTTTGACGATTTTCGTTTTTTGACTACTGCTTTGGTTTGATCTGCGAG